CGTGCATATCTTCAATCACCTGAGTAATTACCGAGGTATACTTAATATTAATTTTAGTTTTCACGGGATCTCCTACCTCGCCAAACCCTCCTTCCCCAAGTTTTTGAACCTTCACCAGGTACTTAAAATCACGATCATCAACACTCCAAAGACTTTCTACTCGAGGAATTTTGTCAGGATACATGGAAGTCTTCTCACCTTTTCTTTTTCTACACATCTTTGCAAAGAGGAACATGAAAAAAAAAAAAAAACCTTCGATTTTTTTTGTTCATTGCGAGGAATTGTGATACGGGAAGAGTAAGTTTTGCAAAGGAATGCTCGACATCGGAATGCTCAGCATTTAATACTGATAAATGCATCAGATATTACAGAAAATTAACCAATTAGAAGGCTTGCTAAATCATCTTTTCTAGACTAAGAGAAAAATAAAACTAAGTTAAGAGTACACGAAATTGTCCACGTCAAGCACCAATGCCAAGTTCAAATCTCGCTAGATTATATAACACGCGCAGCGCACGTGAATACGAAATATATATTAAGGGGGGAGAAGAAGATTGTAGTTTGAAATATTCTAATTTAAGATCATTTCAACATTGTATACGATTTACGTTCTTTGCTTATGGGCATTATCATAAAAGGTTAAAGATGGATCACAGATAAAATGAGAAAAATTCAAAACACTAAGGCTAAGAATCGTTACCCTTCGTTTGGTTCGGCGTTCCCTCCAAGCTTTCTGTAACAATCCAACTGCTCTGATCTGTCAGAAGAAAAGGAGCCGTCATATACTGACGAAGTTAAATTGTAAACCCATTTCCCTGATAAGGTCATGGAGTCGAAAGGGAACAAATAATGCCTTTTAAAAAGAACTTTTTCTTCTTGGATCAGATCTAGATTATAACTAAAATCGCCCGATAGAGTTAAATGATCAAATTTGCCGACTAACTGTGTACCTATCGCCATTACTATCTCATACCTTGAGTTTGAGCTCTTCTCGTCTTTCTATTTTAAGTTTACGACGGCGAAATGCCTTTTGGATTCTCTCGGCGCATTTATTCTGCAAAGACAACAACAATTTTGATAACATCAACATACACATATTAGGATCTTAAAGTCGTCACGCCATGTTGAAGCACATAGTAATAAAGGTGTACTTTCTACGACAGGTCTCTTCTACAGTCACCCGCCTTCGACGGTCACCTCCGTACACTGGCTGCCTTCCTAAAGGTGACCACCTTTTCTCAGAAGAGCCACCTCTCTACACAGGACGCCTTGCCAAATCGGCCTCCTTCTTACAAAGGGCACATCCTCACAATGGCACAGCAACTAAAGCGCGTCCTAAATGCATTGAAACTCTTCTCTCGCCAAGGGGTAAGAAACGCTAGAAATACTTATTTAGCTTCTGTACCTTGCTTGTTTAGTCTCGGTTAGGATGCTTTACAAAAGCATCAGTATTGCTTACGGTTATGGTGGTAAATGTAATGATATTCCACCATAAGCACTTTTGAAAAATTAGAAGTTGCACTGAGCCCGGTGGACATGGAGTGAAATATGTGACTCCCAATTTGAGGCGAGGGCGAATTTACCGTAAAGTACCCAAAAGAGTTGTTAATATGAACTTCTGAAACCCCCTTCCCTCTTAAATGCTTTTTATTAGTAATCCTACAATTTTTGCAGAACTGAACTTGCACGATAAACCTAAACGACTTAATTCATCATATAACTCTTTATCAAAGTACTTTAAATTCAAATTCTTGTCTTTTGCGTATTAGTTTTGATTTGAATCTGCGCCAGGCCCGCTTAATTATGGACGCGCTTTCATTCTGTAAAGACAAAAAGCATTTTGATATCAACAAATGATTTCAGCATCTAAAAGAATTAACGCTATTTTGAAGAACGTAATAAAAGTATAAATTCTGCAGAACCTCTATGCTGAGGCTTCTACCTTACGAAGGTTACCATGAACTCTATATCAAAGTACCTTGAATTCAAGTTCTTCTCTTTTGCGCATTAGTTTTGACTTGAATTTCCACCACGCCCGCTGAATTATGGACGCGCTTTCATTCTGCAAAGACAAAAGCATTTTGATATCAACAAATGATATAAGCATGTAAAAGAATTAACGTTATTTTGAGGAACCTAATAAAAGTCGAAATTCTGCAGAACCTCTATTGTAAGGCCTCTACCTTACGAAGGTTACCATGGAACTCTATATCAAAGTACCTTGAATTCAAGTTCTTTTCTTTTGCGCATTAGTTTTGACTTGAGTTTCCACCACGCCCGTTGAATTATGGACGCGCTTTCATTCTGCAAAGACAAAAAGCATTTTGATATCAACAACTGATATCAACATCTTAAAGATGTTATTTTGAAGAACGTATTAAAGGTCTAAATTCTGTAGAACTTCTCTGCTAAGGCTTCTACTGTACGGAGGTAAGCCGTAGAGTAGAAGGCTAAAAGGCTTAAAAAGGCTACCTCCGTACAACGGCCACTTTCTTACTGTGACTGCCTCTCTACAACGACCACCTCATCCACAATCGGCTATGTTTACACGGCATTATAAAGAAATCAGATTACCTGTCTTTGCAGCTCTCTATCTTTTTTACGGGCGTCGTTTTCAATACTAAAAAAATGTCACAGTGTTACAATGGTGATGACCAATAATTCTTTTAACTCAAGTTTGGCAAAAATATATCCTTGTTCTTTCCGTTTATTGAGTGCGCTAGACGTCCAATACCTTAAGCTTGGCTGAAACACGTTTTCTTGCCTTAAACTTTTGAATATTTACATTAACGTCTGGTAGCAAGGGAAACACTTTAACAGTTTCGTAAATGAAGTTGTAAAATCAGCTGGTAAAAGATTTCCATTCTTTACTTAAAAACTAGAAACTTCTATCGAAATTGGACTAAACGATAAAAGACTTACCTTTCTTCGCATTTGTTATCTGTAGTTGGCCATAAATATTCTGCAATACTCGCAAAGGTAAACAAACTAATCCAGTGGGTAACGAAAACCATCTTGGCATCTAGTTTGTTTTCGCGACACTGATTTATAAATGGGTTGCGTCATAATAGCACCCTTCATCTTTTAAGCGCGCGCTAGAATCCGAAATGAATAAATGAACGCGTGAATTTGTGTCCGCTGAGCTTAAAAACATGGAATATTCTGGTGGGGCTCCAAGGTAGACAAAAATCAGCGTTGGGTGGAATTTTTGATCAAATATTCTTAACATTTACCTCCCACGAAAGAAACACCGCCTTTTGGTTTGCTCAATTGGTAGAGCGCCGGACTGTTGTGCGGGGAGGTCGAGGGTTTAAGTCCCGGCCGGACCAACACTCAGGGTCTTAAAATAACTGAGGAGAATTTGCTACCTTTCTATAATATCAAGAAATGGATAGATATTCCAGTCTTCTCGCATAAAGACGAATAAACCGTAGACCCCGTCTCCTGCAGGGTTAGGGGTAGGAGACGTTAATTTCCCACGCACGAGATTACTGTGTGGTGGATGTCCTCCCCTGGGGTGGGATGGGTGGGCTTACTGGGCCCGCAGTAATTGGCGCAAGCGGTTGTGGCGTCCCTGCCTATCGGTGAATCTAATCACTCTTTCCCTATCACGATGCTCATCTATTACAAAATTCGAAGCCTTCTTTTAGTAAATTCAGGCTTTTGGCCCCATTTCTTATCTATAGAAATTTGGAAATGGCAGCTATAAACTCGGTTTTTAATGATAAATACCTAACCGATTTAATGGCTCATCTTAAAATGAAAAAATCCCAGAATTGCATAATTGAACAGTTTGCAAGTTGCACTCATGTCTGCAGTGTATCCAGTCCATTGAGATCCTCTCTCGTTGCCTGTTTAAAATTGGCCACGGAAGAATTGTATTCCACATTAAACGTTGCCGGTGACTAGGCAAAGGGGTAAAACGCGAAGAGAAAGAGCGAAAAATGAGGAGTGGTGGTTATGAAGGCAGGACAAGACAAGTCCTAGACTATACGAGCAGTGCCTTCTTTTCGACAAGTCCGTGGCACGAGTAAGAAATAAAAAATTCACCTGCGCGACAGACTTTGCCGAAAAGAAGGGAATGCTTGTAGTCTAGACAATACCAAACAAGGGCCGGAAGGGAAGTTAAGTTCAGATTAATTCATCAACTTTGGTCAGAGTTAATCAAAACATCAAACTACAAGAGACGGCAAGGATAGTGCGTGTTTTCATTCATTACAACAAAATTCTCTCCTGATTTCCATTAGTCTTTCCGGGGGATGTACGCTCTACAGTAATGATTAAAATAAACCTTCTCCGAACCGTTGTACGAATTCGCAGCTTTACTAACTCTAACTTATTACTGTCTGTAAGAGTTAAAACAGATGTGAATTTGGTTATAAAAAAAATGAACGAGGTCGAAAGCTTTGAATAACCAAGTGACGAGATGAGTTAAAACACAGTGTACAGCGGATGCATATAAAAATCTTCTCATTTTCTTTATTTCATGGAACAAAAGAAAATTGACCTTGTCGTAGAGCCTTCGAGGGAAGTTATTCAATTACACAAAAGTTGAACTATGATAAGGTAGTACCCTTTCGCTCTGTTTTTAAGATTATAGTTATCTCGACCTCCTAATTACATTGAATTTAGCCCACATTGTACACAAGCAACATCAAGGCATCGCAAATGAATTATCTCTACACGCAGATAGATGAGACGTTTTCGGGCTTTCTCTACTTTCTACTTCGGACCTGCCTCTCTCTCACTGTAATGAACGCTAAATTTAAGCCTTTGTTTTAAGTGATTTGCCTCTACTCTTTCTGATTCGCCAATTCGTTGCTTAGCAATACGTCACTAGCCCTTACACGTGGACGGTAGAGTTTAAGTTCATCGTGCACAGTACGTGTGTCAAGTAAATTTAAGCTTAAGCTACCCATGGCTATTTAGAGTGCAATCGGGAACCGATGTGTGAGTATAAACTGTTTTCGTTTTGTTTTAGTGTTAAACCGTATAGTTATACTTCCCTAGCTTAGATTTCTACCTAGCGATTTCCTACAAGAATATCTGGTAATTTAATGTAAGTTTGTTTCCTTGCTCGTTTATTCCCTAACCGCTAGCAATTACGCTCGTACAAACACGTTTTATAGCATCGTGCAATTTTATTTCCTTCAAGATCTTAGCGTTTATCGTAACTGGGAGTGTTAGCAGTATCTACACCTGTCTAGAATCATTCATGTCTAGTCTTCTCGGATAAGGACGAATAAAATGGAGGTCCCGTCTCTTGCAGGAATAGGGGTAGGAGACGTTAATTTCCCACACACGAGATTACTGTGTGATGGATGTCCTCCCCTGGGGTGGGATGTGTGGGGGGAAAGGTGAGGTCGTTACATGGACTAAAGCGGCTGCCAGAGGCGCCTGATAATGCTGACGTCCGATCTCAACCTTAGCAACACTGTAGACCTTAGCAATTCCGCCTATGCTGCTATTAAGGTATCGAATCATTCACTTCCCTAGCAAGCCTTCCTTTTCCTTCCTACCCTTAATCGTTAATCATTCAAAACCTGGTTTTATAAACGTTGTCACGCAGTAAAAATGATTGGAATGTTTATAACTATTGACTCGTGACTTGCCGTCTTCAGTGAAATCCCTTATTACCGAGTAATTAGTTTGCTGCATTGTATTTCAGTTTACGTTTGATTATTGTCAATAAATTCACCGTCCACTACAGTTGGTTTTCCGTGATCTCGGGCACTATTCAATCAGTAAAGCATCCCCTCACACACGCTCTATTCACCGCGACACGTTGTCTCGCAAGTGACCTTCGGCCTTTCAGCAATCGTCGTGAATCTGGCGTTACACACACACTCTCTCTCTCTCTCTCTCCTCCTCCCCCTCTCTTTCCCTCTCCCCCCCCCTCTCTCTCCCTCTCTCACCCCTCCTCTCTCTCTCCTTCTTTCCTTTGCCTCAGCTGACGAAAAGAGGAGAGACTCTGAGAGCAGATTGATAAGATTTTATGGATGAAAAACTAACCGAACTTGCAGCTCTCTGTTATTTTGCTCCGTGCGATAATGGAAATAAAAACCAGAAACCACACTAGTTTAAATGGTCGAGCTAGCGCACTGGCCTCGACCTCCACAATGTGGTGACCAGTCCTCTCCAGGGAACTTCTAACTGATCGTCAATGCATCAGACCGTGACATTGAATTCTTCACTCTTCATTATTTTCATCGCCATTCTGCAAGGATTGATCACTACACTTTGCTTTGGCACCGTAGCTCCAAGAAAAGCGCTCTCGGCCGCTCTTGGCCTCTATTCTTGTGAAACCATTTTTGGACAACAGTTCCCACATAATCATAGAACATTTCGGCCGCGAAGTTGGGTTTGCGTCAACAGCATCGTTTTCTTGCCCGTCTACGGGCGGAGTAGGAGTCCTTAGTTTTCTCCCTGTTGAAGTCTTCTTTAGTTCCGGTTCACTCACTTTACGATTTGTATCTTGCCACGGGATTTCTTTAACCCGTTCCGCCGAAAGTTTGCATATCGGACCTAAACCGTCCGGTCTTAATCCCTTCCCGGTACTTATGACGTATCCTTGCTCTGTGCCGCAAGGACCAGGGGAATTGACCACGGTCAGACTACGTGTTTCATCAAAAGGATGAAACCAAGTGAGTAATTTTCCTGTTTCAGAATCAAATATCATTATGTGGCCACTCGCAGTGCCCACCCAAATCGAGTCATTCGTGGGCTCCACGCAGGTAATACAAGTAGCCGCATCATCGTGATCTTTGTGCGACTTGGATTCCGTAGCGAGACCCCTTAGAACATTTGTGCAGTCAACGCTGAAGTGGTTCTGCCTGTTCTCTGAGTCCCATTTACTGAGTACGGACCTGCACACAGACAAAACGCTTTTCTCGTCATGAGTAACCTTTAGAAAGGAGATCTGCGTCTGTGGGTTGTTCTCCATTCCCTCAGGACCACCGTACCACACGGCGTCGATGTCGAACGCCTCCACTTCGCCTGGCTTTGTCAAATATCTGTAAATGTACCGGCTTGTAGACACCCATAGTTTATCCTGTGCCACGGCGAGTGACAGAATTCGGTGGCGTCCAACATTGAAGGTGAAGGAAGCACGTTTTTTGCTGGTCTTTTTCATATCTGTTTTCAAGATGCAACGCACGTTTCCATCGAGAAGTCCAACAAACACGTACTCATCGTTTGATGCGACACAACTGACTGGTTGATCGAATCTCATGGAGGCCACGCACTTGTAACGCGACTCACTCGAGGTGGAGTAGGCGTTGACCAAGGCAACCTCTCCGCGAACAGCGATGAGGACGAAAGGTGCCATTACATGCATGTACTGGATTTGAAACAAGAGACGCTGCTCTTGATAGGTTTCAATCGAGAATGAGAACTTCATGCTCAGTCTGCGACCATCGTAGATAAAAATTCGGTTGCCTGTGTGGTCATCGCAAGCTAACCACAGATCAAGGGAGTCTCGCACGTGACAAGCATGCCGCACGGACTGCTGCCCTGAGGCGACAGGCTGCTTGGCTATCAAACACTGGAATGCGGGCTCACGGACTTGGTCGGTTATTTCAGCGGTCGTCGGCCTCTTAGTCGGCCTACCGGACCAGCAGCGAAGCATAAGTTCGGTAAGCGTCGGCAAACCGAAAAAGGCCACCGGAACGTGCTGCCACTGCGGACGCTCTCCAGCAATTACAGCTGCGTTGATTTTTGCTCCTGAATCGTATTCGATGAACGGAATTAACCGGGTGATGATTTGGTACAGAAGGATCGCATAAGAATATACATCAACTTGAAAGGTGTATTCCTCTTTATTTGCTGATTCCAACATCTCCGGTGCATGGTTACCAGGCGATCCAGATAATGAAATCAAACCAGTCGAAGTCGCGAAGTTTGCCGTGCCAAAATCAATGAGCTTGACGTGAAGATCAGAGTGTTCGTCCAAGGACCAAACAAGGACATTTTCGGGTTTTAAGTCCCTATAGATGACACCCATGTTATGCAGGAATCTGAGTGCGTCTGCAACTTGATATGCAATCCGAAAGAGAACGATGCGATCAATCAACTTTGGGCTAGATAAGATCTCGGTGAGAGCCCCGCGCTCTGCTAGTTCCAGCACAAGGCACAAGGGGCGCAGAGACACACCGATGATGTTTATGAGAAAAGGATGCTGTCGCACGCGACGCAGCACGTTTAGTTCCTTGCGCACCTCTCGGTAATGCCTTAAGGGATCGGATTCATCCCTTTGAATGTAGAACTTGATGGCGACTGCCTGTCCTCGGCATTCCCCGCGAAAGACCTGAGAGATAAGAATATTATATCAAGAATTCTTGCCTTCCTTTTACAATTGCTGTTTGCGTTTTTTCTCGCGATGCTTGCTGGGGGAGCTTAAAGGTACGTGCTTACCCAAGGATTTCAATAAAGGTCAACCGCCGACTGTTAAGTATGCCTACAGAAACCCATAAAGGAATATCTTCTTACTGACCAAGTGCGAGGGCTGTACTGGGGAATATTGGCCCTTGGTCCCTACAAGAATGACCGAGAGCAAATATTCTCCAATGCGGCTCGAGCAAGCGAGGTTAATATGTACAAGTAGCTTATCATATGGCACTTGGACCAAACTTGTATACTTTGATTTTGCCTGCTTTACACGGCTTATGACTGTTTCCGGGGAAACGGTCCGTATGGAAAAATCTTGAGCGAGTAAGAACCCATCAAGAGAACTATCTGATGGAAGGCGCGGTGACCTCACGGTTAGTGCGCTCGACTCCGGATCGAGTGGTCCTGGCTCGAGCCCTGCCCAGGGGCATTGTGTTGTGTTCTTAGGCAAGACACTATACTCTCACGGTGCCTCTCTTTAGGGGTAGCCCTGCGATGGACTGGCATCCCATCCAGAGGGAAGTAGAATAATTCCTAGTCGCTTAATGTTACAGAAACCGGAGTTAAGTGCCGGCCTGATAAATCACTTGGCTCGTAAACAGACTTTACATTTTTTCTAACATTAAGTAATATAATGAAATATAGTAATAATAAAAAAAGCCACGTACTTTTCCAAAGCCTCCACTTCCCAGCACACTCGACTCAGCGTCCTCATACGTAATGTCCTCGTGCGATAACAATAAATCAGGATCTACGTCATGTAACATTATATCAGGTGCAATCTTGTGAAGATCAAGCACCAGCTTGGGGTGATTGGGACAACGGATAAAATCTGACTCAGAACTTTGATGCTGACATTCAGCAAACGCGAACTTAAAAGGTGGAAGACCAAGTTTTTCGCATATCATACAGGGAATAAGCTGCCTGACTTTGGGTTGCTGTCCGTCCGTCATCGATAACTCTTGGTACCATTCTCGAATGAGCGTGTCGATGTGGTCCACCACGAAACTCAAAACTCTCCGGCCCTGACGGGAAGGGCTCACTTCCGTATGAATTATTTGTCGATTAGAACCAGTGTCGGTAACGCAATGCAGTAGGAGGAACAACCGAGGGTGACGAAGGCAGACGCCAGATTTCCAACAGTGAAGGAAATCGTCGTCTATCAGTGTTGCCAGATCTGTTGGTAACTCGGGTAGAAAATCAACGGGGTACTCCTCCACAAACGGGCAGTCGGGAAGGTGTGGTGTAGGACTCCGTGGTTTGTCAGTCCCGCTCTCTACGGAGGTACCATCTGTAGGGTGTGTAGGCGTGGAAGCAGCAAAAAATGAAGTCCCTCGTGGTGTTCCTATTGAGACATCAGCCGATTGAAAACTTGTACTTGGAGAACTGTGCGACGATAAGTTGGACAAGAACTCATTTTTACCCACTTCAATCCGAACCCCATTGGCAGTGCTGTCCGACAAATGGTTTCCGGCTGATAAGAAATGAGACAAAAATTGTCACATGAGTTTTTCCTATAAATGAGAAAGGTGGTCAACGAGAAAGGTTCGGGCATTCTGATATATGGAAAAGGAAGAGAAGAGAAATATAGCTTCGCCTTTAGAGTGAGATCCCAGTTCGTTAAACAATTATTTGTATCTATCACTTGAATTCCTTGCTCAGAAGTAGCAGCTAAATACTTAATTTCTTGTTTAACAACACAATTCCTTGACTTCGTCCAGGATTAGATGTCCTGGACCAGGTCTCGAAATAACGGCCGGTCAACGAATATAGGTTTTGTCCGGTGAACTCCTTTGTTGGCCGGACAAAATAGGATATCTGGTTGTGTCCGAGCAAAAATAGGTCTGACCGGACAACTTGACCGGTACCAACTGGGAAACGTTTTCGAGCCTTGTAAGCAGTCAAGAAATGAAGGAAGGTTACTTGCTTTTGACTGGTATCTCATTCGGAAGAATGATAAAAGACTTCTAGTTGCAACTAGGCTCCTAGTGCGAGAAGTCTGGGTTCGAGAACCGGCCAGATTATCGTGTTTTATTCTCAGAGTACCACCCTCCACCCAAAATAATTAGAACATTTCGCTCTCGATTTCTTCGCACGATAGCTGTTGATTCGGGTCGAGTTTTCCCTCAAAAGTATCACGCCATAAAAATCTCCATCTCGTGATGCGATAGTTGAGAAGAAACGCAGTCATTAAGAATTCAAAAATGTCAAAAATTTTCAAATTTCACTCACTTACCTACAATCTCCTTGTCGTCATAAACAGTACGTATCTCCATGGAATCGTCTCCAGTTTCACTGGAACCTTGGCTTGAACCCGTATGAAAAGACTCCTGGCTGGATTCCTTATCGGATATAAGGCCGATTAACGCAGAGGAGATCTCTACGTTGACTTTCTCCTCTACAGTACATTGCTGATAATGTGGTCCTCTTGGACAATCTTCTGTCAATTGCGGAGACCCTTCAGGGTCATCCGCAACAAGGCTGTCGCCGGGGTGGCCAGTTTCAGGAACTTCACGAGTAACTGCTGAGGAAAGACCTATGTCAGGATTGTCCCAGGCCGCTTCTGATTCAGAGCTGTACTGATGGTTGTCAGTTTGGTCACGAGGAGTATGGTCTGGGGTGCACGATCTGGATCCAGCAGAGAAGTAAGGAACACTATCGTTGTCATCGCTGTTGCAATGCTGAGTTGTTTTAACTTCAAGAAGATCGTCGATTTTTTCTGAGGGACTTTCCCTCTGGCTGATATCCTGCAGGTTTTGACCAGCTTGGACATCGGGGAGTTCCCCTCGTCGGGGTAAATTTATCGCGTTTTCATTTTCAGCCATGCAGTTTGCAGATGGCCGGTGGTCAGGCGTGGAAGAACCTTGCAGCTGTCTAAGGCTGGTGCATGACACTTCAGAGGTAAGCGTGCCACAAGACCCGTCCTCGTAACTCGGGCAGAATGAGGCTAAACGAAAATTCTGGCGCAAGATAGGTACACTTGAGTCACTTTTAGGAGTCCCACTATCTAAATCAGCAATTGTATCGTCTTGACCTTGTCTTCCTGGATCAGTACCATGTTTAAATATTCTTCTGTTTCTTCTTCTTGGGCCATCCCTAGAACTTGCTCCAGGAAATGTCCGATTAGTGTTACCTTCCGACCTTGCGCGAGCTTCGTCATCGTCTTCCGAACTGTATTCGAATCCCGAATCACTCCGAGAACTAATGTCGGGATAAGCGAAAAATCTACCGTTGATGTAATTTCCTTGGCGTTGACCACTAAAGAATCGAACGAGACCGGGAGAATCGTTGAGAGATCCCTGCAGATTCTCGAGCGATCCACCGAGTGAGGGGTGGAATGAGGGGTGGGGAAAGATGAGGGATGGGGAAAGATGCCCATCATAGTCGCTTTCAACAGGGCGACCGTCAGGGATATCAACCACGGTCAATGGGCACCGACAGCAGAAGGGATCCAGCTGGAACGGACTGGTGTTGTATCCCTGGTGGTTGAAGTTTTCTCCGCTTGACAGCATGTCTTTCATGTAAAATAACAAGCGTGAAATGAGTCGACACCAGAACCCGTGAGGGATGTAGGGCAACGAATGCAGCCGCTTCAGTGTGATGAACGGTAGATCGTCATTCGTTGCTTCATCCGGTTGTTGGGCGGGCAGTTTAGAAGGTATCAGGACGCGATCTTCGTCCAAGGAGCACGCGATCTGAAAACGATTCAAAAGGCGAATGAACTGCGGGGAGTTATCGTGCGGAAATTGCTCACCTCTAAAAATCAGAGGTAGATCTTCAAGCTTCAAGATGCCATTATGAATGAAGGGGTTAACTACGGGAAGTGTCACGACTTGTGCCATCAGCTCGCAAAGCCACTGGGGATCGATGAAGAAAAGGTCCTGAAGATCTTGATTTGGGTCATTGTAGTGCATCAAAATTCCTGTAGAACGATCAATTGGGATATTTACAAACTAAAATGCTTTCAATAGACTGTTAATGCAGCAAGTAGAGAGAATTAGGAATATATACAGACGAAGGGAAATTATCTTGATGATAAAAGGTCAAATTCTCTAAAATAGCCTCTTAAGAAACTCACGATCATTAGTTAGGAGAATTAGCATTCATATATTGGCATTGAAAGGGGTAAAGCTGATAGTTCCCAATCGTATTAATCTTAAAAATTTGTTGATTCGAAAAAATATCTTGATAGTGTGAAGTTACGCAAACGGAGTTACCTCGAGAAAACTTATAACTCGGTTCTGTGCGCGGGAAAACAGTGGTGAGCTTGCGCAGAAACAGCATTAGTAAGAGGCGCAAGAAATTAGATGACAGTGCCTGGGGGAAGGGGGGCCCTTCTCGAAAGTAGGAGCTCGTGATAAGCGGACATACCCACCCCAGCACGATTGCAAAGACAAGCGTTACCTGGTTACAAACGCCGGTACAAAACAAGCACAAAGTGCACGTTTTAACCAATCTGCGAGCTCATGCCTACCTCTCTCGTGCATAAACTGCGTGACCTCTGTCAAATCATTAGTGTCCTCAATATCCAGAGGGTCGTTCTTTATGGTGTCCAAAACAAGTGCCTCGTACTCGGATTTATGCAAGATTGGCATGCGTCCTTTATCCCGTAGCTCCTTTCGCTTGGCTTGGATGACATCTGCCACTGACAGAAAACTATGCGGGATTTTTTCCCCCATGACTAACACCTGTCCTCGGCCGCTCTTCTGGAGGCTCCTGGCAACATCGTAAATGGTGACTCGAAGGCTGTCTATGCCTGTATTTCGAAAACAAAACAAAATGCGTAAGTTAAATTCAAATTATAACATCGCAAAGAAAGGGACAAAAACTCCAAGGTGATTGAAAATGGATGCAAGGACTCTAAATCCAAATTACATAATCTTTTTTCAACATTCAAATGACCCTCCCGGTAAATGTCGGTACCTGAGCAACTACGTACCCCTCCCCGCTCAATCCGATAAAAGTCAACTGATAACAACATACAGTTAATGTTGGGTTAGGGGAGGGGTGGCTGCGCAGTTTCTCAGATTGATCCGACCTTTCTCAAACTCATTAACTATTCATAAGGTGATTATCCAATCAAGACACACCAATTTCATCACGTGCATGGGGTTTGAAACCCTGGTTGAAAAAAAAAAAATGGAATGACGCGCTATCCATAAGTTTCATAGAATATCAAACCCTCGAGTTTGATAAAGCATCAAACTCTAAGGACCTAACTTCTTAATTTGAATAACAACAACAAACTATCCAACAACATTTGAAAAATTCGTGAATATTTGCGTATTTCTTTTATTCCGAGCGCATCGGGTTTCGTCAAGGTTTCCAAACACTCAAAGACAACAAAAGCACTCGGCCTGCGGCCTCGTGCTCTCACCAGGTTTCTCATGTTTCGAAACCCCGATGAAACCCTCGCACTCGTTTTTGAAATAGTACTTCGTATACCTGTCCGGTTCTCTACCATTGGGCTTCTGGAAAACACGTGGCAACTAGGCTACGTCTTGTATACTAACAGAATAAGTAACGCCGAATGTGCGCCGCGCACACAAAGAAAGAGCAAGAGATATTTTGATGAATGATTTTGACTAACAATACTTTGAATCCAGCTGTTGAAAACTGAAATGAGAAAAAAGTTTTTAATCCATTTAGTACTAGTAAACATACCTTCTCTGTTGTCCAAAGCACAGCTAACTTCCTTTATACCCTTGACATTGATTCGATTGTACTTCGGTAAAGAAACCAGCTCCTCGACCAGTTCACGCATTCGCTCCGGGAATCCCTTTTCCTTGTTTTTCCGAACTTTATCCAGGTGGGTTCCCACAATGATGAGGTTTGTGTTGGCAGCGCTGGCTGCGATTGTGTCCAACCAGCTCGTCAGCATCTTGATTCCATTTTCACCTGCCGAAAATAGGAGAGGCTTTCAGAAGCATCCGTAAGAGTTCCTTCACTTGACCCTATTACTCCCAAGATTTCATTAGTAATTTTCCTTACTGTCTGCCATACACTTCGTTTGATGCGAGGTTGAAAGATTTCGCATTGCATCAACTAATAATCCCCTAGTTGATACTTTTCTTTATGCTCATCACTTGTCTACATATTATATTGATATTGTAACGAGAAATTCTGGAAACATTGTTGCGATGTAACGGCGGGTATGTGAAACAATTTGATGGTTTTCGACTGTAAGTTTATGGAGGTAAGTTAAACTCTTATGGGTAACGGAAAATTACTGGGGAGGCCTGATGAAGACACGTACAACTTCTGGACCTGATGGGACTACTTATTGGTTCTGGCCTAACTATGCTGACTATTTAGCTTCTATAATAACGAAAATCTTTAATAATTCAATTGAACAGCAAAGAGTTCAATGTTACACCTATTGCCAAGGTATCCCCATTAAGTGAATGTAGTCAATTGAGACCCCTATCACTTACAAATGTGATCATGAGAAGTTTTGAAAGGGTCATTTACAAACAAGAAATATTTCCTACCCTGCAGTCATCTATTGGGCCCAATCAGTTTGCCTATAAGAGGGGACAAAATACTACAATGGCACTTCTTAAATGTCAACACTACTGGTTAAAATGGTTGGATAAAGATGCAGACTTGGTTAAGGTGTATTCTTTCGATTTTAGTAAAGCTTTTGATCTTGTCCCTCATCAGATTGTATGTAATAAGCTCAAGTCATATAATATTAATCCTTATGTTATTAACTGGATAATTAATTTTTTGATTGACCGTAAACAGAGAGTCGTAGTTGATGGTGTCACAACAAAGTTCACTGCAATTGGCAGGGATGTTCCACAGGGGACTGTCCTAGGTCCAGTGTTATTCTCCATAATGGTTAATGACACAAATGCTGTGAATCCGGAAACAAATCTGCTTAATAAGTTTGCAGATGACATCACCTTGAGTATTCCGATTGGGCCAAATTTGCCTGATGACACATCAGTCAGTGAAATTAAATACACTAAGCTTTGGTCAAGTATGAATCGTATGAAACTAAATTTTACGAAGACATGGGAGTTAGTAATGAGAGGAAAAACCCAAAAAACCCCTCCTGGAACTGTGCACATGATTGAAAGAAAGAGTGAACTTAAATTATTGGGAGTAGCCTTTCATGAAAATCCATGCAACTGGGATAGTCATTTTCACAATATGATGGATAAGGCTGATTCAAGACTCTATATCCTTAGTAATTTCAATATATCAACAAAGTTGAAATGGTAAACTGGCCACCGTTACGATTATAAAAGCTGACGTTTCGAGCGTTAGCCCCTCGTCGGAGCGAATAGAGGAATTGTGGGTTGTGTGTGCCTTTGAAGGCAGAAAAAATGGAGCTACGTGA